TATATATATATGTTTATTTGTTTATTTTTAGAGTTTCTACTTAGATTTGTTCCTAAGAAGTATTTAATCTTGCGACTAACTCATTTTAATTGTTTTTTTCCTTATTTCTTGTTATATGTTCTCTTTGTTACTGTAGCAAAATTTGCCTGATTTTTGTATGTTGAATTCGTATTATGCTATTTTGCAGAATTGATCGACCAAAATCCAACTGTTTACTTGCAGAATCAGCAGAAAAACAGAGCTCTCAGTACTTATCTGCTGAAGCAAAAAGCAAAATAAAAAGGAAGGAAAATGAAGAAAGTCTAAGAATAATGTAGGACATCATCAAGAGGAATAAATTGTGTAATTGGAATTCCAGAATGAGAAGGGGTGAAAGTGCCAAAAATTGTGAAAGAATTGTTAGAAGGAAACACTCCAGGTTTCATGAAGAATGAAAAAAATACACATCCAAGGAGTTATTGCTGTTGTTGTCTTTTAAGTGCCATCAACAACCTTAAGAACAAATCTAAACACTGTTTTAACCTGTTTCATTTTCATACTTGCTGACACACTAGAGCCTATTGTGGCAGTCACTGTGCCAGTTCATCTGGTTGAAGATCTTTCCCTTTACTGACTCTATACCTTTCCAAGGATGATGTCCCTCTCTAAGATTTTATCATCTTTGCTTCCAAGGAGCACTCTGGGTGCACTTTCTCCAAGATATATTTGTTCTTTTGGCAATCTATGGCATATTTAGTATTTTTCTCCAGCACCACAGTTTAAGGCATCAATTCTTCTGTCATCCTTATTCAATGTTTGGCTTTCAGATGCATAACAAGTTATTAGAAAGGCCATGGCCTAAATCAGATGCATCTAAGTCCTCAAACTAATATCATTGTTCTTCAATAACTTGGAGAGATCCCTGACTGCAGACTTTCCCAATGAAATACATCTCCTGATTTCTTAATTGCTAGTACCAAGGGTGTTGATTGTTGAGCCAAGCAAGCAAGGAGCTGAGAAAACCCCAAATAAAATAAATCTCAAAAGAAAAATGTCAAGGTATAAAGTAGTTACATTCTCCATAATCAAACACAAGGAGACAATTCTGAAAGCAGCTGGGGGGGGGGGCAGAAATAAAAGTAACAGATAAAGGAGAGCAAATAAGATTATATATCAGTTACTAAGCAGAAAGCAAGTGAACAAGAAGACAGTGGATTGGCATATACAAAACATTCAGAGTAAACAATTGCCAGCCATGAATCTTGTACCCAGTAAAACTGTCGATCAAATACAATGGAGAGATCAGAGTATTAAAGAAAAGTAAAAACTAAGCCTGTTTATGAAAATATGATCAATGTTGTAAGAAATACTAAAAGAAGTCCTTAGCAGAAAGACATCACAGAAAAGTTAATGAATCAAAGTAATCAGCAACAAAACAAAAAAGAACCTAACAAAATGATAGCATTGAAGCCTTATCTTTTGATAATCACACTGAAAGTGAATGATATAAATTCATCAATAAAGAGAAAAAGCATAGTATGTGTTGGATTTAAAAAAAAAAACCCAACTATGGCTACGAAGAAAAGCAGGAATGGCAATATTAAAACCGGATAAAATAGACTTCAGAATAAAAATCAACAAGATGAAAAGAAAAAAACACTATCTAATGCTTGAAAGGTCAATAGAATAAGAGGACATAACCATAATAAACACCCAAATTATAAAACTTCAAAATTTACACCACAAATATTAGCAGACTTGACAAAAGAAGTAGACATCATCATCATGATCATAGTATCATCACCACTATAATTAGAGACTCCAGCATATCACTTACATTGAAAGATAATACTATTAAAAAGAAACTCAACAAATATGCAGAACTAAACTAAATGACTAACCAACTAGACCCTAAAGACACATATAGGATAATGCACCATAAAATAGTTTAATATTCATTCTTCTCCAGTACATACGGAACATTTTCAGAATAGGTCACAAAACCAAGCCTCAATAAATGAAAATAAATGTTTAAATTCTAGAAAACATTTTCTCAGTCCACAATGCAATGCAATTAGAAATCAACAACAAGAGGATAAAGGATAAAAATTTATGCACTTGGAAGCTAAATAAAATCCTGTTTGAACATTATTGTTGAGTAATAGAATAAATAAAAATGTTCTTGAAACAAATGAGAATGAAACACAATTTTCCAAAATCTCTGGGATACAGGAAAAACAGTTTCTAGAAATCAAATCTGTGGGGGGTTTTTTCTATGTCTATGTCTATGTCTATGTCTATGTCTGTGTCTGTGTCTGTGTCTGTGTCTGTGTCTGTGTCTGTGTCTATGTCTATGATATATTGAATTCTCTTCTCCAACACAACTCAGAGGCTAAGATTCTTCTATCATTTTTATTCATTGTGCAACTTTCAGAGGAAAACTAAGTAACTGAAAATTGTTGTTGTTGCTGTTGTTATGTGCTGTTGAGTCACTTGCGACTCATAGTGACCCTATGTACAACAGCCCTAAACTCTGCTCTGTCCTGTGCCAATCGCACTGTCTCTGATACACCCATCCCGATTACCCCAGTCACTAAATCAATCCACCTCATAGAAGGCCTTACCCTCCTGCGCTGTCCCTCCACCCTACCAAGTATGCTGTCGCTCTCCAAGGACTGGTTCCTCCTTACAACATGTCAAAAATATGTTAGACAGAGCTTCAGAATCCTTGCCTCCAAGAAGCTGCTTGGTTTAACCCTTTGTAGGATGAATCTGTTCATTTTCCTAGAAGTCCATGGTACCCTCAATACCCTTCTCCAGCACCAAAGCTCAAAGGCATCAATTCTCCTTCTATCCTCCTTAGTTATTGTCCAACTCTCTGATGCATAATAAGTGATTGCAAAGACCATGGCCTGTATTAGATGCATCTTAGTCTCCAGAGAGATACCATTGCTCTTCAGTACTTTGGAGAGGTCCCTAATAGCAGACTTTCCATGGAAATATGTCTTAATTTCCTGGCTACTGGTGCCAAGAGCAAGAAAACTAAAGCTGTGAACAATCTCAATCTCTTCACCATCCATACTGATGCCGCCAATTGGCCCAGTGGTTGAAAATACCAGGATTTTATTCAGGCACACCTTAGTCTTTAAGCTAATATCATTGTTCTTTAGTGCTTTGGAGAGATTGTTGAGAGCAGATTTTCCCAGTACAACATGTCTTCTGAATTCTTGATTATACCCAGAGTGTTGATTTTGGATCCAAGAAAGATGAAATTGTTGACAACATCAATCTTTTCTCCATCTACTGTGATGTTGCCTATTAGCTCAGTGTATCTGTGTGCATGCCAGGCACCTCCAATACCTGCACCTGACACCATCACCTGCAACAATGCCAGGCACCCAGCCCTTGCACCCACCTTCACATTCCATGCCTGCCACCTACCTCCAAGCTCCATGCGTGCCTCCACACTCTGTGAATGCCACCAGCATCCTGAGCCTTCTATCCACCTACATGCTTCACCTACCTCTATGCTCTGCCCACCTCTACACAGTGACTTTAGATCAAAAACCTATCAGCCCCTCAGGCATGAAAAACTCTACCACAGCAATATCACAAAAGAAGAAGGTTACCTCACAACCTACACAAGCACAAAGCAAGATGTCACCCCCTCAAAAGTGACAAAGTATCAATGGATCCCCTGAAGCCAGAAAGTCTGATAGAACTTTCTGACACAGAATGTAAAAGAACAATGATTGACTAGTTTCAATAATGGAAAGACAAACTTGAAGAATTACACGACACTGCAAGCAAAAACCAAGAGGTGCTTAAAAAAATTCAAAACAATGCAGATAAAACAAATGAGATACTAGAGGCTCTGGAAAAATAAGAAATCACAATCCACAATATGAGGTTTAATGTATCAGATGTTGTCAACATGATGGAGTCACACATGAACAGAGTTGAAGAGATAGAACACAGAATCAGTGAAATAGAAGATAAAATTGTCACCACTGAACTCCTACGAAAAAACAGAACCAAAAAGGAAGGATAAAGAAGAAAACCTAAGAATATAATGTGGAACACCATCAAGAGAAATAACATGTGCATCATTGGAATCCCAGAACAGAAAAGAGAAAGTAAAGGCACCAAAAAAGTTGTGGAAGTACTACTACAAGAAAACTTCCCAGGCAAAGTGAAGAATGAGAGAATATGTATTCTATCTATCTAATAATTCAGCACATTCATAAAAAAGTTTTAAAAAAACCCACCAAGCTGAGAGAATACCATATAGAATAGAACCCAAAAGAAAAACATCAAGGCATATCATAGTCAAATTTTCCAGAACCTAAAATAAGGAGAAAATTCTGAAAGCAGAAAATGAGAAACCAAGAGTAACCTGTAAGAGAGAGCAAATAAAATTAAGTGCAAATTTCTAAGTAGAAATGATGCAAGCAAGAAGACAGTGGAATGACATTTATTGAATACTGCAAGAACACAACTGTCAACCAAGAAAAATGAAGATAAAGAAAGACTAAAAATAAAAGGGTGAGGAAAAAATATATACCAAGCAAATGCCAACCAGGGAAAAAAAAGGCAAAGGTAGTAATATTAATCTCTATTAAAATAAATTTCAATGCAAAAACCATCACAAAGAACAAGGAAGGTTACTACATAATGCTTAAAGGATCAATATAACATGAAGACATAACAATAATAAATATCTATGCACCAAATGATAGACCTACAAAATATATAAAACAAACATTAACAAAACTGAAAAAGGAAATAGACAACACTACTATAGTAGTTAGAGACTTCAATATACAGCTCTCAAGAAAAGATACAATTACCAGAAAGAAACTCAACAAAGATGCTGAAGAATTAAGCCACACAATAAACCAATTTGATCTCAAAGATATTTATAGGTCAGTGCACCACAAAAAAGTAAAGTATACATTCTTTTCTAATGTGCATAGAATGTTCTTGAGAATAGATCACGTATTGGGCCACAAGGCATGCATCAATGAATTAAAAAACATAGAAATTATACAGAACATATTTTCATATCCTGTGCCCATTTTTCTATTGGATTATTTACCTTTATCTTGTTGTGGTGCTCAAGTATTTCATAAATTCTGGATATAAGTCCTTTATCTGAT